CCACATGTGGACATGTGGCACATACACACCACATGCAACACACGTCGCACATGCATGACACATACATACCAGAGCACATGCATCATATGTGCACACAGCACACACGACATACACCACAGATAACACATACATATCACATGTGTGCACAACACATACACCACACGTGCACACCACATAACACTACATGCAACACATACACGCCACACATGCATAGCACGTACATACCACACAGAACAATACACACTGCACGTGGGCGCATGACACATACATACTACATGCAAGACATACATGGTACAATGTATGGCACATACATACCACACAGAACACATACACATCACATGTGGACACAACACATACATACCACATTGCACACAGCACAGACCCCATGTGTACAGAACCTACAGACCACAACACATGTACATCACACACCACACACACACCACAACGATGTGCAGAATATGCAAGACACACCTGTGCTTGCACTCACACCAGATCCATGCAGGTACAAACCACACATGTGTGCACAGTTATGCACCATGTCCACACATGCTTGCATGTGCATAAACACACACATGGCCACATACACATTAGTAAGAATGCTCAGGCTTATTAAGATTGCACTCTTGTGGCCACTTCTGTGATGCTAGCATCCCATAAGGCTGCCAATTTGTGTTCCAATTGCTCTACTTCCAAGCCAGCTCCCTGGTAACGTCCCTGGAAAAGCACTGGAGGCTAGTCGAGTGCTTGGCCCCCTCCTGCCCATGTGGGAGACCTGGAAGAAGCTCCTGACTCCTGCCCTGACCTGGCCAGGCCTGGTAGCTGTGGCCATACGAGGAACAAAGCAGCAGGTGGAAGCTCGATCTCTCCTCCCTCTCTCTGCAACTCTGCCTTTCAGGTGAGGAACTACATCTTTATGACACAGACTGTCCCTGTGCCTGTCAGCAAATGAAGTGGCCAAGCTTGACATGCTGGTGCACAAGCTGGCACACACGACCAACGCGGGGTAAAAGGACTGAGCGGGAGGACTTCAAGTTGCACTACACGGCCCGTCGGAGGGGTGAGGCCCACCCAGCCCCCACCCAGCCCAGGGAACAGGAGGTCGAGGAGCACCAGGCACGGCAGCCGATCGCAGCACTGCCTGAGGGGCACACAGCTGGGACTGGCTGTTGGCACCTGCACATCAAGCTCCCTGGCCTGAAGCCCCAAGCCCTGAGGGTGGGTGGCAAGGTCCTCAGGGCCTGGTTTGACAGACAACTGCTTCTATCCCAGGGGACTTGTCCATTTGCGAGATGAGTCACCCAGAGCCCTCACACCCAGCCCAGGTGTTCCAGAAGGAGGAATTTGCCCAGCATTTCCCCACACCTGTTGTGAAACAAACCCAAGGCCACAAAGGCCAGGGAGAGGCCGGGAGCTGGTGCCATCCTTTGAGGGCTGAGGCTGCCCGCGGCCTGCTCTGTGGGAGCCCTAGCAGAGAAAGATGGAGGGAGGCCCTGGCTTTTCCCCAGGCCCAGCCCAGCTGTTCGCCCAGCTCTGGAGTCCTGCCTGCACCCTCCTCAAGGCAAGGCACAAGCCAGCAGCCCAAGAGAAACGCTAGCCTAGGAGACGTCCCCTGCACAGCTCAGGGCATGACATGGGCAGGGGTGAGCAGCAGGGGCCGGTCCTTTGCTGAGACATCCCTTGCCGCTCCGAGAACCCTCCTAAGCCCTCTCTGCATTGCTTATGTATTCCAAGGCCCCTCCCCTCCACGCCTCTTCTTTTGAAGGCTGCGTAATCCTGGGCAGCCTCATCAGATTCCCCTTGATTAGCCAGAATTTCCAAAGCTCAGCCTGAGCCTCCTGTTGCCCTTGGCTGCCACGTGGCCCCAGTGCCAAGCAGGCAAGCCCAGCTGACCTGGGAAAGGAGCGGTGCTGGGGAGTGCTCCTGGGTGCACAGCACGGACAGTACACGCAGCCAAGCTCCAGGCACCTGGCCCTGGCCAGGCAGACACAACACCCCACGCCAGGCCCCACCCAGCACTTCCATTACCACGGGCCATCTGGGCAGCTTGGCGTAGCTTGGTGTAATGTGCACCATGGCCCAAGTGTGGACACCAGTCTTTAGTGGATGAAACTGCACCAGTGAGTGCCCAGGAGCCACAGGCCTGAATGCCAGCTGGGGACACAAGCCTGAAGAGGCCTGAGGAGGCAGCCTGTGACACAAGTTTGGCAAAGCACAGGTTTGGAAGGAGAGCAGCAGCCTTCTGCTGGGCAGCGCCGGCAGCACCAAGGCAGCAGAGCAAGCAGAGGGATGAGCTGGGTAGGGCGCCTCTCCAGGCCGCAGACACGCTGGAGTGCAGAATGCAAGGGTGCCTGTCCGGGAGAACACCAAGCGTGCAGAGAGCCAAGCGCCAGTTTCTTGTAGGAAACCCACACAAACTATGAGGGCAACAGCCTGTGCCTCTCCCTGGTCCCGGGAAGCCCCCCTGTCATCTGCGGGCACCACGGGCGTGGGCTGTGCCTCTCCCTGGTCCTGGAAGGCCCCCACGTCACGTGTGGGCACAACGGGCGTGGGCTGTGCCTCTCCCTGGTCCTGGAAGGTCCCCACGTCACGTGTGGGCACCACGGGCGTGGCCTGTGCCTCTCCCTGGTCCCGGGAAGCCCCTGCGTCACCTGCGGGCACCACGGGCATGGGCTGTGCCTCTCCCTGGTCCCGGGAAGCCCCTGCGTCACCTGCGGGCACCACGGGTGTGTAAACAGGCCAGCCCCATGAATGGGGCCCCGCTGTAATAAAGTCTTCTGGAGTTTGGAATTGCTGCGCAGTGGTGCTTCCTGCCAAGCGCTCCGCCCTGGGATCGCACGTCTCTAAAAGGACTATTTGCTCTTTATTTAACATGGAACCTTTTCATGTTTTAGAATACAAAAATAGTGTCATATTATTTTAAAGCTTAGGAGAGAAACCAGCCATATTCTTAGAAGAAGATATATGCAGCTAGAGTCTGTTCAAATATCAAGAGGTGTGACTCTTCAAATTCACATTTCAATCTATATTTACATAAGACTTTCAGAAACAGTGGTGTAAATATTAAAACACCCAAGCCTGGGTGAAACTTTATTGAGAATAACTACAAATAAAAGGAAACTGATTTTTTAAAGTCAGTTTCTGAAATTTAGATGAAAAGAATATTGAGCATTAGCCAAAAAAAAAATGATGTTTACATATCAATGTAGGTTTTCTGTTCATAGATTCATTTCCTACGAAACCTAACAGCGGCAAGCTTGGGGATTAGGAAGGAGGGGAGCCCTAATCCAGCAGGTACTGTTGTTCAAACACACCATGAGCCAAGGCGGCCCAATCAGAGGCAGCAGCTCCGGGAGTCCTCGCCGCCTTCCCACCTGTGTGAGCAGGTGGGGACCTGGCAAGATCATGGACACGGGCCGCCACAGGACACGGGCCCGCCACGGGACACGGATCGCCACAGGACACAGGCCGCCACAGGACACAGGCCCACCACGGGAGACGGACTGCCACAGACACGGACCCACCACGGGACACAGGCCACCACAGGACACAGGCCCACCACAGGACATGGGCCTGCCACAGGACACGGGCCACCATAGGACACAGGCCCACCACGAGATATGGGCCCGCCACGGGACACAGATCCGACACAGGACATGGGCCGCCACAGGACATGGACCTACCACAGGGCACAGGTCGCCACGGGAATTAAACTGCCTGTGTAGCTATCTAGCTATCTGGAAGGCAGAGTTACAGAGATCTTCCACTGCTGCTTCATGTGTAAGTGGCTGCGACAGGCCCAAGCCAGGAGCCTGGAACTCCAGGTGGGTCTCCCACGTGGCTGCGGGGACCCAAGCACGTGGACCATTTTCCAGGCCGTCCCTGGGGCATTTCATTGAGTTGGAAATGAAGCATGTGAGAATCAAATCGGTGCCCATGTAGAATGCTGGCATCGCAGGCGGTGTCCCAATCCACTACGCTACAATGTCAGCAGGGGCCACTGTGCTCAAAGCATTGCTCATTGCATTCTAAAGAAACATTTGGCAACCATATGAATCAACCAAAAGATACTAAAAGTGATTTCAGGATAACTGAATTTTACCATTACTAGGAATTACACCACTGAATGCAAACATAACTTGTAGAAATTTCTCTGAAGGAAGAATATCAAAAGCAGCAAAGTATAAATTCACGGAGCCAGCCTGACACAAAACTTTGTCCCTAATTTGTTTAGCACAGTCGGCTCCTCTGGCTGCACACCGCCAATGGGGTCTGGTTTCCGAGCGGCAGCGCGTCAAGCCAGGCTCTGTGGTTTATTGACTCAATCATGTGCTTATCAAACACAGGAATACGTTTCCCTGAAGATCTTCACGGGCAATCCGAGGAACACAGGCGCGCGCACACACACACACACACACACACACACACACACACACACACTCCTGCCTTCCATGTGGAATTTAAATATAATTCTGTTTTATTGCAATATTAAGATTCCAAACTTGAAAAAAATACCCAAGAATTATAGAGGTTATCAAAAGCACATTAACTTGTTCTTACAGAAAGTTCAACATTAATAACAAAGGTATTATTATGCTAATGTGTGCCGTGTGATTCCTGCCCAACAGAGGAGCCCCTCCCCTTGAATCCTGGCCTTGAACCCGGGCTTCCGCCTCAAAGACGGGATTGCCGCAGTTTACGGAGGCGTGCAAAGAAGCTTAAACAGACAAGGGAAAAGCCACCAGGTGGGTCCCGCTTGGCTGAGCGGGCAGGTGAGCGCTTCCTCCAAGATGCCCGCCCACGGCACCACTGCCAGATCCGGCACCCAGCCAGTCCGCGCGCGACAGAACGCTGGGAAAAGCTGGAATCAATCCTCACCCTCTTATTTACGTTCTTCTTGCCGTAGAAATGTAATTGCGGTTTTTATTAACTCTGTTTTATGGATCTAATATTTAGGAAGAAGTCCATCTTTCAGGCCTCAGCAAGAGGGCCAGCACACTTACCGACTCCCCAGCGATACATCTCCGGCAAAGCTGGACGCAGCTCCTGCCGCCGCTCGGGGGGCCCTGGCCGACAAAGCACAGATGCAGACCGGTCAGGGCGCCAGCTTGGGAACAACCGGCCCCCAGCTGATGCGGGGCTGGCGGGCACTTACCGCTGCGGGGGCGGGCGCGGGAGTGTCCACAGGGTCCGCGGGGCTGCGCAATGCGCCCACCTGGAGGTAGCCACGCTCGGGCACACAGGCTTCCGGCCGCCTGCATGTCCGTTTCTGAAACAGACAACATGTCACTTAGATGGCCCCTAAAACGCTGAGTTCGCCTTAGGGGCAGCTGAGCTGAGGACGCCGACCCCTCTAACCCCATCTCTCACCAGGCAGCCAGCACCCACACCTCGCCTCCTTGTGTCCGGCCCTGGCTGATCCGTGCTTAGGTTTCCACATCTAACACAGTCCTTTAGAACAGTGTTGGCTGAAACCCTCATGGCCAGTCACTGACTGAAAGCACAAAGCCCAGGCAGAGCCGGGCGGGCACCCCCCCGCACACGGCGCCCCCGCACGCGGCAGTCATCTGGGCGGGCGCCCCCGCACACGGCACCCCCGCACACGGCAGTCATCTGGGTGGGCGCTCCCGCACACGGCAGTCATCTGGGTGGGTGCCCCCGCACAAGGCAGTCATCTGGGCGGGTGCTCCCGCACAAGGCAGTCATCTGGGTGGGCGCCCCCGCACACGGCAGTCATCTGGGCGCCCCGTGCACAGCACCCCTGCATACGGCAGTCACATAGACTAAGGCAACACGAACGCTTCACATACAAAGAATTTTTACTGGCCCTGAAAAAGCAAATTCCTTGTATTTCTTTCAAGTTACACACAGCACATACCTACAATCAACATTGAAAATCAACATCGGTACTTGCTTCCACATGAACAGAAAAAGACAATTATGGGTTCCTCAAAACCCTCAGAGGGAAAAAGGATTCCGTCCCAGGGGCTCAAAGCCTTGTGTCCAGGCCGGCTCTGCCACACAGTGAGCCGGCCACCACCTGCATCCCATATGGCCCTTGCTCAAGTCCCAGCCGCTCCCCTCCTGACCCAGCTCCCCGCCAATGTGCCTGGGAAGGCAGTGGAAGCTGGCCCACGTCCTGGCACTCCTGCACCCACACAGGAGACCCATGGCTCTCATGGAAAAACTAGTGTGCAAGAATTACCCAGAAAACCCTGGAACATCGCAGCTCCCTGACACGAGACACAGTCCTGCATGGGACAGCACTCCCGCTTAGCCAGCAAGCCAGGAGCTCGGAATTCCACGTGCAGACACAAACCCGAGCGTTACGGAAGTGTGGCAGCCCACGTTACTGAACGGTGCAGGGGCAGCTGGCAGGCCACTGGGGGCCAATGAATACTGGGACCCTATCCCACACCACACAAGAAGAAACCAAGTAGCTTAGGAAGCTAACCACAAAAAGACCTAGTTACAAAGAACTGCCTCAGTCCCTGCAGCGGACAGGAGTGACTTCCTCTAACCTCCGAGCTGAGCCACGCCAGCAGCGTGGAGCTCCAGGCCTAACGTGCTCGGGACCCAGTGCAGGACAGTCCACGTGCCTGGCCCCCGTGGGCCACGTGCCAGTCAGCTGGAGCTCCGGGCTCTGGATTCGGCCTGGCCCCTCCTCCTTTGTAATTCTGCCTTTCAAATAAATAAAGCACATTTCTAAACATGTACATTAATTATAAAGAACAGTGATTTTAAAGTTCAGAAGGGGGCCTGGCGCAGTGGCGCAAGTGGTTAAGGTCCTCGCCTTGCACGCCCGGGATCCCATATGGGCACCGGTTCTATCCCGGCGGCCCCACTTCCCTTCCAGCTCCCTGCCTGTGGCCCAGGAAAGCAGTCACAATCAAGGACAGCCCAAAGCTTTGGGACCCTGCACCCGCGTGGGAGACCCGGAAGAGGCTCCTGGCTTCGGATTGGCATAGCATCGGCCGTTGCGCTCACTTAGGGAGTGAATCATCAGACGGAAGATCCTCTCTGTCTCTCCTCTCTGTATATCCGCCTTTCCAATAAAAAAATAATAAAAATAAATCTTTTAAAAAAAGTTCAGGAAGGCGCCTCAGGTGACAAAGCCAAGGTCGTCGGCTCTGAGGCATAAGGACAGCAGACGCACTTAGCGAGCGAACGCTGCGCTACGCCACCTGTCTGTACATCTCAAACTCCCTCAGAATGGAGAGACATTCAAACAAGAGAGGCAGGCACGGGCACAGGAGCCACCATGCTGCTTAGGGCACTGCCACTCCGTGGCAGAGTGCATGGCTCCAGGGCTGGCTCTGCTGCTCTCCAAGCTCCCTGCTAACACACACCACGGAGGCAGCCAGTGCTGGCCCCAGGGCTGCAGTCCTGGCTCCATGTGAGCTCCGGGCGTCAGCCTGGCACAGTCCTGGCTCCATGCGAGCTCTGGGTATCGGCCTGGCACAGTCCTGGCTCCATGTGAGCTCCGGGCGTCAGCCTGGCATGGTCTGGCTCCATGTGAGCTCTGGGTGTTGGCCTGGCACGGTCCTGGCTCCATGCAAGCTCTGGGTGTTGGCCTGGCACGGTCCTGGCTCCATGCAAGCTCCGGGTGTTGGTCTGGCACAGTCCTGGGCTCCATGTGAGTTCTGGCGTCAGCCTGGCATGGTCCTGGCTCCATACGAGCTCCGGGTGTTGGCTTGGCACATTGCTGGCTCCATGTGAGCTCTAGGCTGGCACATGGCTGGCTCCATGTGAGCTCCAGGCCTCAGCCTGGCACGGTCCTGACTATTACAGGCATCTGGGAAGCAAACCAGTGGATTTCCCTCTCTCAAATTCCAAGCAGAAAAGAAAGAAAAAGATCACCTCTGGGACTCCAGCTGTGTTCACCCCAGGCTTTCACAAGTGCTGATTAAAGCACACTGCAGGCTGCTGACTGCCTGCTCCCTCACCAGCTCCTCTCAGGTACCCGAGGCCTCCTCTCCAGACATCCCCACTCCCACAATTCCATTTGGGAGGTGCTGTTCCTGTTTTTTCTCCCCTGGACATACTTCTCCGGAGTCTAGCCATTCGCACTGCACATCATTACCGGGGCAGAGCAGAATCTGCACGTGTGACTGGCTCACCGTGTCCATGGCTGCCAACCCTCTGCCCAGGCTCCACGGCAGCTCCCCTCCCCCACAGCTTGTGCAGATGAACCAAGGTGCCCACTCTAGGCCGTGGGTAAGCCACTGTGAGGCGCCCACTACAGGGGCTGGGTAAGTCATCATGAGGCACCTACTACGGGGGCTGGGTAAGCCATCGCAAGGTACCCACTCCAGGCCCTGGGTAAGCCATCCTGAGGCGCCCACTACGGGGGCTGGTAAGCCATCACTGTCCCCCTCCCTGTCTCTGCTTGCTTTAACTGCCAGCTTCCTGTGGACACAGTTCCACCTGCCTCACCATCCTGTCCTCCTTATGCCCACGGACAGTAGCCACACTGCCCACCCCCAGGGCTTCTGCAACAATGCTGTCCTCTCTGACCTCAGGGGGAATTCTGGACTCAGTGAGACCAAGGCCCTAGATTTGTGGCTATTCAGGATTTGCTCAATTTCTATTCTGCAAAAGAGTTGATGTGTTGAAACTAGTTTGCTTTCAATAATCTGGGACAAAGGGCAAGACAGGAGATACGACACACTCCCATCATGTCCCGCGTGCTCCAGGCCCCCAGGGACATCAGTGACGTCACTGCTTGCTCTTGCACAGGCGGCAGAGACATGGAGGACGAGGGATGGAACCTACATTTTCCAAATGAAAAGTAGAAACCCTTGCAGTCCTGCATGCTCAGCACTTCTCCGTCCACCGACAGCTGGTGGCAGGGTCAGCAGTCGTGGTCACCCAGAGTGCTGGGCACCTCTGCTCGAAGCGACTCAGGCAGGACAGGGGCGCTGCGCCCTCACACCAGAGCGTGGGGGCTGGCTCCCCTGGGGGAACGCAGGCTTGTGCACCTAGTGGATCCATTATTCACACTTCCTGTTCTTTGCCGCGGACCGTGCGAGCTGACCACAGGTGGTGCTGACGTCCTGGGCTGGCCCGGGCCGCTGCAGAGGCCCTTCGCTCTGGCCAGCTCGTCCTCTTCTCTCTGCTCACAACCTTCCTAAGAGGCAAAAGACTTACCACCATGCTAACAGGACAGCTGCCCCGAACAAGCAAAACTAAAGTCCTGAATGTGCATCCAGTGCTGTACTGGACCGTGACTGAAGACTGAGCCAGCACTTCACTGCTCCGGCCCGAGACGCACTGAGAACAGCGCGGTCTGTAGGCGCTGTGGCCTCAGAGAAGCAAGGCCACAGGCGGTGCAGACAGGGGCTCGGTCACCGGTGCCAGGAGGTGAGGGTCCCACGTGGGCTTACAAGCCAGGCGTCTGGGGCACATCAAGATTGGCTTCCAAGCAAGGAAAAGTCCACGTAGACCAGACGGAGGGTGCTCGCAGAGGCTCCCGGGATACAGCCGGGCCAGCTCCATGGCTGCCAGGGCTGAGTGGGAGCCCCACCGCCAGCAGCCCAGTCTCCTGTCCCGGCAGAGCGGGAAGAACGACAGAGAGGCCAGTCCTCAGAATGCTGCACTCCTGGCCAGCACAGCCCAGCACGGGCTCGGTCTGAACACCGGCCTCTTTGCACGGGACACCAATGCCAGCGGAGCACCAGGAGTCCCCAAAAAGCTCAAAGGAAAATGCGTGCAGATTCCAAAATCCCACCGAAGTGCTTATCTTTTAATTCAATTTTCCACAATTTGTGATATACATATATGCCCACATACACTCATATATGCTATAAACTGTAATGCCAGTATAAATCATTAGAACTCAGCGATGTAATCCAAGGTAAATCCACAAGACAGATTTCATACAAAAACCAGCGAGCATGCAGTCAGCTGACCAGGGGGACGAGGTCGGCTCCCTTCCACGGGGAGCCACGGGCGGCGCACAGAAAGTAGGACCCGCACACGGCCGACCTGGGAGCACTAGCTTCAGGCTTGCTGGTTGACACACTGTCAGCTAACTCATCTCCTGATTAAATTACAGACCCTAAAAAGCAGTTACAGACACATCACATCGAAAATGAACTTAGCATGGACTACAGACCTAGCTGTGAGGTCACAGGGAGGAACTTGGGGACAGTAAAGATTTCTCCGACAGGATTCCAGTGCGACCCGTGAAAGAAACAAACTGGAATAGGGTTTCATGAATTTTCACATCCTTTAGGCGTCAAATAACACAAAGAAAACGAACAAGCC